TAGCGAAAACAAGGAGGACACTGGTGAAAGTACTCCTAAACGAACTCGAGTACTAGGCAATAGCCTTGGTAGACGGGTGCATTCTTCGTCTGTTGCTGCTGCTTCTGTTTTTGATCCGAAGGATAGTTTAGCCTCCCCAATGCTGCCCCCTCACGGGGTCCCAGTTCATGGTAGATAGAAGTATTTTGTGTTTTCAACCGCACTAAGACTGACGTCTTTTCATTGGTCAGCCGGTTAGCGCGGTCGATGCTAATAACAAAAACACACACTAAATCTACTGTAGGAATCCGTGCATATCTGCCGCACAACGTTCAGACAGCAGCGTGACGTTGTGTGCATGACACAGCACGTAGAGGCTATGTTATCGCGGCGCAGTCCGCGTTTTTGTCTAGTGTTACCCTTCAAGGCGAGTTGCTGAGGAAAGGACAGCACTGATCCACATGCCTGGATGTTGTACACGTTCAAGAGTTACATTCAACGTGTTACCGTAAACTGCAGTGACAAGCACGTCAGGTCGCCTTGCTAGTCTACTGCACACAGTAACGTGTAATAATCCCGTACCTAAGTTGGCGGTACCTTTCATGCTGACATTGTTGTGTTGTTCACATCGCATGTTCCTTTTGTCCTGTGCATTTCAGCCGTGACCTGCAATGGCACGCCGGCAGAAGGAGGCATGACTGCTGTACAGCAGTGGTAAGCTGTGTGGATCGCATAGTCACCGTTTGAACGTCAACGCAGACCTCGGGTTTCGTTCCAGCATGTCTTCAGAAAATTCAAAAATACATTTGTTGGATTTCAGCTTTTACAAGAGGACATCAACGCAGTAGTATGTTAGCAAGCTTACGAACGCATGTAGGATACCATGAGGATTGTCATTGGTTTTATTTCAAATTGAAGAGGAGGTATTTTTACGATGTAAGTGACAGTAGAAATAAGTCCTACATATGTTGTTGTACTTCGTATTGGTTTAATATTCATGTAGAGTATGAGACATTCAGTGAAAGTTTTCTGAGGTACATCTGCGATTGTCGGAAGGCGAAAAAAAAAAAAAACATTGAGAAAATGTGCAGCAAAATATCAGCCCGGGTTCAGCCTCAGTCTAAACTAAAGCCTTTTCCTTTTGCGCCAACTGGCGTGTGTGCCACGGCGTGTGCGTTGTAATGTAGGCTCCCTACATATTTTGGTTTTTGTTTGCATGTTAATTGTGCGCTGCGACAAGATAAGCAAATAGTTTTCTGAGGTACATCTGCAATTGTCGGAAGGCAAAAATAAATAAATAAATATATATATAGGAAGTAGCACGTGAGCATATTTTTCTTGGTTCTTGGTATGTTTTTAGTCGCGTTTTGCCTTGCACCTGAATGCTTCATGTCATGGGATGATAGCGCGTTGTTTGCACACCCTGTACAACTGCCACTGGCAACTACAACTTTAGTTGTGCAGGGCAGCAACTACCCAATAGTTGTCTGCGGACAACTAGTTGCGCAGCTTTTCCAAACAGTAGTTGTCTGCAGGCAGCTAGTGGCGCAGCTTGTTCAAGAAATAGTTGTCTGCCAGACAACTGACAACTAAGTAGTTGTACAGGGTGTGGTTGTTTGACATGCATAAAGGCATACCGCTCAGGGAACAGGGGGGCTTTTGGAGTTCCAGTTGAAAGACTGTTCGCATACGGTACGAGCTTTTTCTTGAGTTTGATGCCATGTGTGTTACGTGCTTTCATGATATTGGTTTGTATCGCATGTACTGCTGCTCTCGCATCGAAAATCATGGAGGGGGATGTCATGTATGACCATGATACTAGAGGGGATGAGAAATGATCGAATTCGTTCGTTTTCTGGTCTTGTATATTTGTGTATAGGTCAACGGCAAAGCAGGGAGGACTGTTGGCATCCAGACATATAGCTCGGGGTGAATTTTCGGAGCTGACAGCAGGGAGGCTGTACGCGTGGATGCTTCTTAACATTTTTTATCGTTTCTACAACAGCGACGGTACCGATTAGCGCTGTGTAGGATCTGGCCCTTGGACACTACATCGGAGGAAGGGTTTGACATGTTTTGACGATTAATGGTTGGGGCCATTGTGCTTTCCGAACTCTCGTTTTGATTAGTCAAGAAGTTGAGATTTTGTTTTGTTTGAGGATTTGGTGCCAACTCTTTCGACGTAACTTTAAACCACAGATAGATGTCCGTTTTCGTTCTGATACTTTTTTTTTGGAGCACAAACGATTTGTGGTTAGTTTTCTGAAGATGATTCTTTTGTGTCAACGGTTTGAGATTATTTCCAGGGACGAACGCTTTGTGTTGAGTGCGTAGCCAGTTTTGTCAAGTAAGTTTTCTCAAGGGGTGTTTTTCTATGTTGCCTGATTACGCGTCAAGGGTTGTGTTGCAAGATCGTACATCGTATCAAGTAGGGCGGCTGTTTGTGAAACTTGGGTATAAGTCCGATCTGTGCATCCTCAAGGCACTCTTGCCACTCTGGCCCACCGCAAGCTCTCCGTGTACGGTAGTAAACAGCAGTGGTAGCACCCACTACCTCACATGCAGTAGCCGGGTACACGGACTGGTGCGAAGTACCTCGTAGTACTTAATTAAGTATCTTCCCCCTCGTCAACAACAATAACGCCCGGGCGAACTTGAACTTGTAGTCACGTCAAGAAAGAACACCATGATGACGTAGTACTTCATTCTGCTTGCCGTGGGAGATGCTCATCGTTACGCGAGGCAGGCGTTAACTCCCCGCATAGAACATGCTGCCGTAGACCTTATCCCTCAAGCTCAACCACAGCTATACCCGATACATCGTAGAATCATATCCAGCTGTAGAAAGATGAAAAACAAATTGTCTTCCTAGTGGCGAAGCGGACCCTTTTTTTATGGTTCTCCAACTAATGTTCGCGATTGGCGACATGGTGACACAGACAGGCAAATTCTGTGGTTTGACGTTGGTCTTATCCGCCGCAGGAGGTAGAAGCTACTCAAAGTCGGGGAGGGTTC